TATAATTTGTATACGAGGGAGAGGAAGAGAGAGAGAATATTCCAAATTAAAAAATAAATCTAAAGAGAACTTTTTTCATGAATAACAACTTGTTAAAAGGTAAAACCTAAAAAAATTATTGGTACATTTGCATTAGATTGAATAGATTAGAGAATACTGTAAAAGAGAATAAGGGAGTAAGACTTCAGAAGATGGAAGTAAAATATGAAAGTGAAATGTTAGGAGAAAGATAAAAAGTTAAAAATAACAACAACTGAGGCCAGAAAAAACGTACATGCAAGAAGAGCCTTTAAATATGGTTCTAATGAAACAGCAAATAGAACTCCTGCATTTCCCAAGCTTTGGTACTCAAGAATATCTTTGGTAAATTTTGGTAAACAATGTACATTAACATTTATACTACTTTTCCTTAGGTACTTGATTTTTCAAGAAGAACAGAAATATTCAGTGGCTTAAAGCTCCTGCTTAGGCAGATGCAGGGACCAGGCTTTGAAGGTTCTGGTCCCGCCCCCAAGACGTGCTGAGGCAGCCATTGAAACTGGGCTGGTGGCTCACGCCTGTAATCCCAGCGCTTGGGAGACTGAAAACAGGAGAATCACTACAAGTCCGATCTATGTAGTGAGACCCTGTAGACACTGTACTAAATACATTAAAATAAGAACAGAAAACATTTTTAATATTTAGTGTAGTGACAATGAACCTTTTAAAAACCGCATCTCAAACTGGGTCCCCAAACCCACTGACGTATCACAAAGTGTGAACACTACAATTAAACCTGAATACTGAGAGTTTAGTTCAGAAAAAAAATAATAATAATAATTCTACACTAACGTCTTTTGTCTTAAATGAAAACAAAAAATCTGCATGGCATAGATTTAGCACAACTTATCTAGTGTTTTCCAGGTGCTATTCTCAGATTCTTGGGTTCATCAGTCTAAATTAAAACTATCTTTTTTATTTGTTTGTTTTTTGGCAGAACCAGGGATTGAACTCAGGCCCCTGCGTTGGCCAGGCAAACTCTTATTCCACTGAACCATCTCCCTGACCCCTAAACTGTCCTTTTAGAGTCCTTGTCCATTTTCCCAGAAAAGTTAGTAAATAATACAAGATATCAGACTCCTGTAAGTGTTGTAGCAACTAGAGAGAGAAAAAAGGAGATTAAGAACACTGGGCAGCATGGCAGGCCATTACAGATAGGGTAATCAGAGTAAGCCCACTGAAGTGAAGCTTGGGGTGAGTCTTTGAAGAGATGAGATGGAAAGCCTGTCTGCTGGTGTGCTGCAACTCATTCCAGGAAGGCGCAATGAGCTCCCTCCCTGTGCATTGTTGTTCTGAGGTCATAAAGGAAGACAGAACACAGCAAGCAGTGGGGAGTGGTATTGAGCGTGGTACTGGTTCTTTATAGAAAGAACAAAGACAAGTCCTTGATAGACCAGAGAGTGGGGAGAAGGGGAGACCTCAAGGAGGGCCTGAATCTAGAAGCTTACTTAGTGCACAAAAAAGGCAAAGAGGCAGAGGACCTGAAAAATGCATGTTTGTCATTTCTTTCCGCTGCTTTGTTGCCGCCTGTCGAGCTTCCCACTACCAGTGGATTCTACCTTTTTTCTTTTTTTCTTTCTTTCTTTCACTTTTTTTTTTTGGTCTTCTGTACTCTAATTTCTCTTCAGGAAAATTATTCTACTTGGCTTGCTCAGGACTTGGCCTTTGTCCTTTCATTTTCTGCTCTCAACCCACCTTCAAACAGCAGTAACCCTAACTTCATTAGGGGTACAGAGGCATCGATTGCTCAAGTGATTGACAGGGCAACACTCAGGACCTGACCCTCACTGTCAGGTCCATGTAAGGGCCTAGAGTAGAAATCAAGAGGAATACCCATCAGTGAATCTGCATAGGTCAGCATTTGTAGCTTTGAACTTTGTATCCCCAGCTTCCACGTCCCAGATTTGATCAACTGCAGATTTGAATGGTCTTGAAAGAAGAATTTCTCTGTAGTAAACATATATAAACTTGTGTTTGTCATTGTTGTCTAAACCATTCATTGTAACAATGGTTTTTTGTTGTTGTTTGTTTGTTTTTTAGGGAAGGGTCTGAAGGGTGTTCGTGGTCTCACACTACTAGATTGGAATCATAGTGATCTACCTGTTTACAACCTCCCAAGAGCTGGGTTTGCAGGCGTGCGCCACCACCCCTAGTCTAGTATAACAGTGTTTTACGTAACACTTATACTGACTTAGGTATTGGAAGTAATCTAGTAGTGATTTAACATTTATGGGAGGAGGTAGGTAGGCTATGGATGAACAGTGCTCGATTCTATGTAGTATATTTGAGCATCTGCAGATTTTATGATCAGCAAGGGTTCTGGAACTGGGCACCCTTGGGTACCAAGGAAATACTACTGTGAAAAACTTGTCAGGCATCATAGAGTTACAACACAGGAAGGTTCAGATGTAATTTCATGCAGTTAGATTTTAGTCTTTCATGCCTATATGTTCTATGTCTGAGTATTTAGAAAGGTTGGCATAAAAGCAACATTTTTCCTTAGAAATAGATACAGTGTCTCCTTGTTTGATAGTTAGGAGGTTACCCATAACTCTGAGCTTTTAAAGATTTTTTTTCTGACATGAATTATTTATTTAAAGATAAGTTTTATCAGAACTGGGCATGGTGGCTCATGCCTGTAGTCCCAGCACTCAGGAGGTGAAACAGGAATATCACTGCAAGTTCGACACAGACCTGGGGCTACAAAAGTGAGCACATGGCTGGCCCAAACCACACAGTGAGATTTTGTCTCAAAAAATTAAAAAAAAAAGACAAGTTTTATTTATAATCATACAAATTTTATTTTTTAGTTTTGGCTGTAAGAAAACTGAAGACTTTGTTTTTCAAAGACAGTTTTAGCTATGGAAATAAAAGATTTTTTGAACTTTTATAGTTGTTACTGGGGCTTTTCAGCCTCATTAAACCACAATAGTTGACAATAGTGACACACTAGAGGTGTAGCTGGAGACTGTCAGTAAGGGTCAGGATAGTACTTATAGCCCCCTTTGCATGTTTATCTAAATTATTTTTATTTTTTATATATCTTTATTTTTCTCTTGGGTGTTTAATACTAAGTTAAAGTGAAACCTAGTAGACAGCACAGTCAATTAAGGCTCCTCAGAGTCTCCTTTTGAGCCCATGTACTGACCCTCTTAGTTTTGTCAATGTTTTCTGCCAAGATGAGTTACAGAATTACTTGACCACATGGCTTTCCTTGGAAACACGGGAGATGCTTTTATTTATTTATTTATTTATTTATTTATTTATTTATTTATTTTTGGTGGTGTTGGCATTTCTTTCAGCACAATGTACATTGGTTGACTCCTGTCCTCTGGGGTCTAAAATCTCCCTGTTCAGGAAGTTG